TTGCACCTTTACACCATTTTTCAGACCGCTTTTTTTTTTCCCCCCAAACTTTTTCCACATCCAGCCACTTACTGCACGTTTTGTCTCACCTAGTTGTGTGTCACTTCCATTTACCTTAGCTTGCATTTTAATGTTTTCACGATTTTCAGTGAGCCCAGACAGCACTGTAGTTTTGGTGAGGTTGAGAGAAAATCCCTTTTATTTTGCTCAGTCAAATAAGTCAGAGACCATTCCCTGTACTTGCTTCTTGAGGGACGTAACTTGTTTGTTGGTGGGTTGTAGGTCTTCCCTGTTCTGAGTTTCAGCCCTGTCTCCATCTCAGCTTCCTCTCCTCCTGCAGTTAATTACCATTCCTAGGTTGTTCTCTCAACTCCTTTCCTCTTTGGGGAGTTGTGTTCATTAAAATAAAACTCAAACCACGTAACTCTTCCACGCAGATTCCCACAGCTGTTACATAGTTTTTTTTCCCCCCCTTATTCCTCTCAGCATCTTCCAGCCTTCACCACTGCCTCTTGTTCCCTTCAAACACCTCCACCCCCATGCAACCTGCCAACAGGCTCTTGAGAGTTGCTCACGCTGAGCCCCTACGATCTTCATCGTGGCTGCTCCTCATGTCTCATAAAAAGGCTTGGTTCAGAGTCCCCTGTTCCCATCACCAGTTCCCCTCTTGATTTTTTTCCTCCTGAACGTTGGCCTGTGTGTGTCAGAGATGCAGCTCAACCCTCACTTTGGGAACCAGGAGTGGGCCTGGTGCGGCGTTCCCGAGAGCAGCAAAACAATTATTGAAATATTGTCAAATATTTAACGCCGTTGTCCTTTTGTTAACGTAGAATGATGGTCTGATGGGATCATCTCCCAAGAGGAAGAATGCCTACGCTGTAGAACGTATTAATTAAGTTTCCAGAACATGTCAAAGAAGAATAAAGACTTCAGTGCTTCTGTTGACTGTGAAGTAAAATTGTGCTGACTCCGGCTGATAAATCCACCCACATGATGCAGCCTCTAGATCTGAGCTGGCATGTGAGGGACCAGCACTGGTACCTCTGTGCTGGCCCTGCAGTAAATCCACAACTGGTTTAAAATCAGTTGCATTAAATTCAGTAACCTGTTCGTCAGCTAGCAGGTCTGGCAATCTGTTGTGGACATCTCGTGCTAATTTTTAGTGGTATTTACAAAGGAATTCACATGGAATTTGGCTTTTGAGCTGAAAAAGCCAAGTCATGACTGCTGTGTGATTTAGGAGAATTGTGTAGTCAGTGCTTAAAAGAATTATGTAAAAAAAAAAGCCAATTACATTTTTGTTTAATTTAATCAGTTCCTACCAATCTTATAGAGCAAATATATGGTAGAAATAGGTGCCTGGTAGTAGTTGTGTTTGCACTGAACGTGTCACTAATATGTGTAACCTACAGATACCAAAAGAAAATGTTTTTCATAATGATGCTTCACAAAAAAAAAAAAATCAAAACTCCCATCTGTTAACCTTTCTGAAGGGATGTCAAGTGCTTAGGCACAATTTGGCCATTACTCATGGATCTCCAGTATGTCTTGAGTTGAATGCTTTTATCATAGATTAAATAAAAAAAAGCCTTGACTCAGGTGGTGAATAAGAGCATAACATTATAATACTGACTTCACCTTTATCCAAAAACCCTTGGAGTACTGAGTCTGGAATGAAAGCCGTATATAATTTCTGCTTTATCAGCTAGAGAAGAGAAACCTGTGTAAGAATGTTATGCACATCCTAAATTTTGCATGTTCTGGGTAAAATACTTTCAGAAAATCTAAAGTGAATGGAAGGACAAACATGGGAAAAAAGTTCCAACTTCAGTATAGATTTTCAAGGAATTGTAATCTGGATTTTTAAAAATTGAGAATTTGTAAATACAATGCAAAATTCTGCTAAATTGTATGGATTTAATAGCTCTGAATGTCCTGTTGTAAAACCTAGTTTTAAAATCAGTTACATCTTTGGTTTGTTAGTTGTGTAATTAAGGCATTTGAATGGTAATATTACCTAAGGGCATTTCAGAGTTAACCAAAGTATTTAGGTGGTGACTGGAACATTTAATATTTCTGTGGAGAATTTCAGCAACAAGTATTAAGACTTTATAGTTTCCATTTAATATATCTGCTGAGTAGTGCTCTATGGTTTGAAGAAGTAGCTCTGTGCTTTAAAAATTTGTTAAAATATCATTTTTCCACATCTTGATAGTTGTATTTTAATTATTTTCCTCCAGCGGTGTTATTGCCATATATATATATAATTTAGATAACAAATATATTTCAAGAAATGTAGTACCTTAAATTTGGGGTCAGTGGTTAGTTACTAGTTTTTGCGTAAAAGAAACATGAGAAAAACCTGATCTTAGTTGCATCATTCTAACTCTGCAATGTCTGGAATAATTCCTAAACAATATTTGTTTCTCTGGTTGAAATCTGATGTGCGATGAAGAAAGGTTCTCATTTATTGCTGCCTTTTCTTCCCTATTTTGTATATCTCCATTAAGATGTTAATTCAGTGTAGAATTAGAGATTAACAGATTTGTTCATCCTGATTTGAATCGTTGACAAGAGCTGAATAAAACCCAAACACTTTCTAACAAGTTATTTTGTTCTTATGATCTGGTATTTTAAAAAAGCTCCACGAGGTGTACATTTCTAAATGAGCTGGCAGTGTTTTATCTGATGATGAGGTAAGTGTGTTTCTAAAACAACTTTTTAGGGCTGACTGTCACTGTAAATGAAAAATTACTTCCCTGGTTCTGTACATTTTCTTCCCCAGCAGCAGTGAAAGCATAAATCAGTTGGTAGCTTCCAGCTAATTGCTTAGCACTGCCATACTTTAGTCAAGTGGGGGCATCGTTGGTCTTTAAAAAGAGGGAAAATGGCCAAAAGGATTTCAACTTAAGTGGCTGTGATATAGTAAATTACTTCCTCTATTTTTATCTTAATTTGGGAACTCCCTAGCTATACGGTGCAGAAACGGGCTGTTTGTTGTGTGTATATATGCTTTTAATTATATTACATTGAAAAAATAAGTGGGCTCAGTTCTTTCCCTGTAATTCAGACTTTAGATTTATGTCTGTCAAATTCTGTCTGTTTAATTACATCGAAGAAGTTTTTAAAGTGACAATATTTTTCTGGTGAACTGAGTACATATTTCTTGAAGACATCAGCTGCAATCAGGAAGTTCTCTACTGAATTTGAGAACCAGAGGACAGTCTGACAAATGCCAATGCCTGAAATATTTTATTCCATTAGAATTCTTGTTTTGTGCTAACAAAAATGTTACTAAAAGTGTCAAAGTGCTCTTTAGGGAAATGGTCATTATTAGCTAATGATACTTGTTAAAACCACCCTCTGATAATGACTGACTGCCAAAATTCCCTTTCCACATAGACAAACAAAAGCCTGGAAGAGGAAGCTCTTTGGGTGTGGTTGGAAGTGGCTGTTTAGAAACACGGTGCTGTAATTACCTTTATGCAGTCGCTGCCTTAAACGGGAAGAGCGCAGCCAAAAACTTTACACCGGAGCCTCTACGAGATGAATGTGCTCATCACACATCGCAGATGCAGCGACTTTGATCCCCACACCGCAAACATAGAGTCACAGAGTGGTTTGCGTGGGAAGGGACCTTTCAGGGGCATCTAGTCCAACCCCCTGCAGTGAGCAGGGACATCTTCAACCACATCAGGTTGCTCACAGCCCCAACCAACTTGACCTTGAATGTTTCCAGGGATGGGGCTTCTACCACCTCTCTGGGCAACCTGGGCCAGGGTTTCACCAACCTCACTGTGAAAAATTTCTTCCCTATATCAAGTCTAAATCTCCCCTCTTTCAGTTTAAAACCATTTTCCCTTGTCCTGTTGCTACAGGCCCTGCTAAAAAGTTTGTCCCCATCCTTCTCATAGGCCCCCTTCAAGTATTGAAAGGCCACAATAAGGTCTCCTTGGAGCCTTCTCCAGGCTGAACAGCCGCAACTCGCTCACCCTTTCCCCATAGCAGAGCTGTTCCATCCCTCTGACAATTTTTGTGGCCTTCTCTGGACCCACTTCAGCAGGTCCACGTCTTTCCTGTGCTGAGAACCCCCGAGCAATGGTAAATCACAACTCATGACAAGGTCAGCCCCCGCTATACCTGGCTTTTGATCCAGTCACAGTGTCATAGAATGGTTTGGATTGGAAAGGACCTTAAAGCTCATCCAGTTCCAACCCCCCTGCCAGCAGCAGGGACACCTTCCACTAGACCAGGTTGCTCAAAGCCTCATCCAACCTGGCCTTCAACACTTCCAGGGAGGAGCAGCCACAGCTTCTCTGGGCAACCTGTTCCAGTGTCTGACCACCCTCACAGTGAAGAACTTCTTCCTAATATCTAATCTAAACCTCCCCTCTTTCAGCTTAAACCCATTTCCCCTTGTTTTGTCATTAATTGCCCTTATGAAAAGTCCTTCCCCAGCTTTCTTGTAGGCCCTTCAGGTACTGGAAGGTGCTATAAGATCTCCCCGGAGCCTTCTCTTCTCCAGGCTGAACAGCCCCAACTCTCTCAGCCTGTCTTCATAGGAGAGGTGCTCCAGCCCTCGGATTATCCCCTCGGTGTCACCTTCATTAAAAGCAAAAGGGTTTGTGAGGATGCTTTTCCGTGGCTGCATTTTGGGAAATCTTTTCCAGGGTATGTGCCACGGGCTGTGCGGGGCCTGTGCCTTAAGTATTTAAGCCCAGTGTTTCCACTGGATACAGTTCTTGGCCTGTCCTCCTGTGTGGATCTGGAATCCCCTATATCTCCATCCTTTGGCGACAACTGCCAAGGGTGACGACTGGAGATAATAACTTGTGATTTGTGTCTTTTGCAAGTTACAGTCATTGTGAACTGACAGCTGTGAAGGACCTAAACGTAACATCAAAGGATGCAGATCATCTAGTTAGGTCAATTAATGTTAATTCTCTTCTTCCATTAAATTCCTTTCTCTTCTCTTTTTTCTTTTTTCTTTTTTTTTGCAGCCAAGCCCAATACCAAGTCCTGTTTTGGGGAGAAAACCAAACGCTAGTCAGTCGCTGCTTGTGTGGTGCAAAGAAGTTACAAAAAACTATAGGGGAGTGAAAATCACCAATTTTACTACGTCCTGGAGGAACGGTTTATCCTTTTGTGCAATATTACATCACTTTAGACCAGACCTAATGTAAGTTGTATATTTTTTGCCTGCATAAGCTAGCTCTCATAGAAATATAGAACATTTAAGTTTACGTTAAAATGAAATCCCTGTTTGTTTCAGGTGTTGAACTCTTTCCACCCTTTTCTTTTAAGCAGGGAACCATCCTTTCTAAGAAAACATTTATGAATGCTCAAACTTTATGACCTCTTTACTCTCCCTTGTTGCATAAAAAACTGTTTCTCCCCTTCTCCGTGATTTGTTTTTCTTCTTTTTAATCTTATACAAAGAAACTGACTTCAAGATGATTATGAAAATTGTGCCGGTGTTGAAATGAGATGAGAGGAATAAGCCAGTAGCTCTTTGTACGCTGACAAGGACGGATTACCTCCTGGTAAATTTGGTTGTCAAGGCTGGTCTCTAGTCCCTGCCTTAACTTCTTTTTGAGATGGAAAGCTTCAGACAATGAAACATGTAATCAGTGTTTGTTTATCTGTTTATTTATTTATTTGTTCCTTTAATTTTCCACGCTATTAGTTTTGTTGATTGAATTGCTGTGAAATTGCTAGTTACTGTACGGTATTTATTGTATGTCGAATTTTTAGATTCGGTTTGTTTTAAAACTGCTGCTTTTATCAAATACTGTACATACCCACTGTGCCATTTTCCCCCTCAGTGACTACAAGTCCCTGAATCCTCAAGATATTAAAGAGAACAACAAAAAGGTAAGAACTGCCAGGAGGAAAAAAAAAAAGACAAGAAAAAAAAAAAAAGACAAAAAAAAAAAAGACAAGGAAAAAAAAAAACATAGCTTTTGGGTTGGAAAGGCTGCAGGTTTTCATTAATTTTGGGAAAGTGTGGTTGTTTTCTGAGGTCATAACTGCAGCTCACAGAAGGTATTCAACCTCCCGCGGCTCAAATCGGATGCATTATTGACTCTCGTTTGTCATGGTCTTTTATCATGCACAACAAGTGCAAGGCTGGCATTAGAGTTTAATATTTGTATGGCCTACATTAACTGTGAAAGCGGAGCAGAGGGCTGGCCAGCCTTCTGCGATCACTCCCCTGATTTTTCTAATTAGCCATGTAATTTAAAAAAAAATAATGAATAAAAAGTAACTGCTCTTGGTTTGTCATGCACCGGCCGAGTGGAGTGGTGGGTGTAGAACTGGAATTTTTCTGCAAGACAAAGTTGAGAATTAAAAACTGTTGAGACAACACTTTCCAAATAAATCAAAATATTAGCAAAATAGTTTAGAACATTATGCTGGGCAGCTGTTTAAAACCACTCTTTGTACCTTTGTGATGCAAAGATGTGAAGAGTTTCTCTGTAAGAAGCAGGAACTTGGTTTGGGAATCGCCAAAAGACTTTTTATTTCTACTCACTATTTTAGACAAGTTACTAACTTGGCTCAAACTTCGGTTGAGCCCTCGGGACATGTTTAGAAATTATAATTTTCATGTGAGTCGCTGATAATAAAATTGGTCCTGAAGATCATTTGAAAATTGTTTTTCAGTAGCTGCCTTCTCGATGCTGTGATTTTATTTTTATACCACTTTAAAAGCACCAAATTGAATTGAGATTAAGATATAAAATATAATATATATATATTATTATACTTTGAATAAATTAATTAGGTTCAATGTTATATGGCAAATATAGCTAAAGAATAATGGATTGTAGGTATGTGGAATTTCTGAAAGTGCTTTATTAAAATTAGCGTTAAGCATAATTATATTTTAACGTGCCTGCACACTTATGTGTTAGCCAGGGAGCTACTTGTCTTTAAAATAGTACTTAAGTATTATAAATAATGAAATATCTCTGAGCTGCAGTTATCTAGTGAGAGATTTGACCAATGATATCTTTTTCTTCATAATACGGGGTCTTATGATGACCTAAGTGGACTGATTATCTGTGACATCACAGTGTTTTCTGTGACCATATGTTTTTGTACTTCAGGTTTTGTTGAGGGTCTGGGCTAATTAAGCCAGATTACAAAAAAGAGATAATTGATTATTAATTAAAAACCTTAGCAATACGATCAATCATCTTTTCTTTATGAAACCGTGATGGCAAACGGGGAACTTTTTAGCCCGTCTCTGTAGCAGGATATAGTTCCCAGGACTGAAGAAGTAATGATTGTTGTTATTGTGCAGTTTTTTTCTTTCATCACTTCGCAAGCCTCTGCCTGACAGCTACATTGAGTATCTCAGTTGCTTCCTGCAGATTTATTTCCTGGTCTCACACAGTTCTGCCTGATAACCCCGCGTGCCCTTGGTTGGAGTGAATGCAGCAACGGGCAACAATGGCTGCCTATAAATTCCATGCAGATATGTAACACATTTGACAATGATTCCTCCTAACCAATTAAAATAACATCTCCAGATGAATAGGACAATTTTCTTTGTCTGAAGCAGCTCTTTTTTGTTTGTTTTGTTTTGTTTTCCCCCAGGAAGGGAAGAAAGAGGTGGCTGTGACCATAGATTAAAGGTTAACCCATGAGAGTATATTTTTTTACAAGTATGCAACCTTGTTTGGATTTTAATAAAAAACAGAAGAAATCTTAAGAGATGACTATTTCAGTGCAATGACTGTGTATAATCACACATTGAAATGCACTGTTACAAAAAAACCCACATCTTTGGAGTTTCCTTCCAACGTGCACTAGTCATTTACCAAATGGGTGCTGCCACCACTGCTGAATAAAAAAGGGTATTTACTTGTGATATCTGATCTCGGCCAATATGTCAGTGTGTTACATAGGCGGGAAATGGCTGGAATACTGCTGGTGGTGCTTGTGCTGATGGATCCCAATTGATGTCTGTCAATCAGCTTGTCAGTAAATTAAAAAAAAGAAAAAAAAAAGAAAAAACTTAATCAGGAGACAGGTAAATAGGCTTAGTGTCCTGAAGACAGGTAAGAAAGCTTAGTGTCCTGAATATATATATATGTGTGTGTATATTGTAATTTCCACAATATATCTCTTTAAAAAAAACCAAACAAAACCCAAACCCCTAAACAACTACACCAGATCACATTAGCATCAATCAGAATTCAGATATATTTTTGGTGCATTGTGCACATTGCAAATTCAAATTTCTGTCAGGAACAAAAGAGAAACCAGGATTATCTTTGAGAAAATTAAAAACATTACAGGGTTACTTTTCCAGATGATCCAAAGAGTTGTAGTTCTACTTAAATCCCACATATATCTAGCTAGCCATATTTAACCTTCCCAGTGACGTTAACTAATTTTATTTACGATATCCATTTGCTTATTACTAAATAATAATGAAAAATGTGTTAAAATTACAGCACACTGGCAGTACAGTCCCTTATCAAGAAGAGAAATTTTTCATATTGCTAATACCATGTCCTGCACTTTAAAAATGTAAACTACTGAACTACACTTGGCTGGAGCTTGGAGGGGATGAAAGGGCGAGAAGTGGAAGGGCACAACAGTATGATTCTAATAATGAACTTGTGTTTTTAATTACTTTGTTGTTTGGAGAAGCTTGTTTCATTTGAGGGATTATTGCGTGGAAATAGTAATGTATCTTCTGAATGTTTGATTGGCACTTTCAGTTTTTGTAATGCCTTTTTTTTTGCCTTTCCCCCACCCCCCAATTTTTGAGCATTTCTACTGAATTCCTCAATTTGAACTCAAGTGATTGTCTTAAAAAAAAAATACTCCGTTTCAGAAGGAAGGAATCCTTTTAAAATATACATTAAAACAGAAGGAGAATTCAGAGTTACAGTGATAGCATTGAGTAAAAATGGAAAAAACTCCTTATCTTTAAGCTGGCAGCCATGTTTTTATAACAGCTGTTCATGCTCACTTTTACTATTTAATTCCACAAAATCATGAGCACGTATTTAACTGTGTGTGTAGGAGTTGCTTGTTGACCTTGGTGGGATCACGCGGGAGCATGTAGTTAAACACACGTATAAACAGTTGCAAAATCAAGGCTTAGTTATGCCTCTGCTTAACAAAAAGTAATTTGACTTGGAAAATTTACTCTGTTAATACCGTGTTACAAACGAGTTACAAACTAGTTAGAAACACTCGGCGTTTATAAATCAACTGGAATATCAAGAAGCTCCCAGCTTCCCTACCAGTGTAGGAGAACCCATTGCACGCTGCTGTACCTTTGTGTGCCAATCTGGATATCTAGTGTCCTGTGAAAGGTGAGAAGCGAGGATGTGTACTGTCCAGAAGGAGAGGGGATGGGAAATAAGGGTCTGGCATCAGTGAGAACTTACTGTATTTAATCCCAAGTGTCACCAAAAGAACTGAGCTGACAGGAAAAAGTGATTGCACCTGTATTGAGAAGATCTGTCCCAAATTCAATCCTCCTGCTGTAGCGTTACCCATTCAAAGCAAGTGCCTTTCCTGACAACTCTGAAACACTGTCCCCACCTTCGTTTTACAGACCCTGGGACGTATTCTTGGGATTTAGTTTTATTAGCATGTAAATAAGAAATTAAGAGTATGAAAGAGTTCAGGTCAAGTCATGTCTATGGGCTTTGGCTGCTGTGGACTGCTAAGCCCATCCTTAGGTCCTTTCATTCTTCACATGGTAACTCCCACTACCTTCAGTGTGGGGTAACAGGTTATTTATGCCACTGAATCACCACTGACCCACTTAAACAACAAATCCTAGTGTTACCTTTGTTCCTCAGGACAGCACAGCTGGCTCGCTGCACTTCCATACCCAGCCTGTTCTCTGCTGCAGTACAAGTATTCAGCATTCCCAGTATCTGCCATGGCTTAGGCTGCCCACCCAAATCCCAGCACTGCTCTCTAACTCTCCCTTCTCTGTGCTCCTCATGTCTGTTCGGTTCCACCTCTCTTGTCTCCTTCTCCGTATCCAACCTGATCTTGCCCTTCCAGCTGTGTCTCAGGACCAGGTAAATGACAGCTGTCCCTCTTCTACCACCCAAGTGCTTTCTGTTCCCTCCCACCCATCCATCATTTTCTTGCTATTCTGCTCCATCTGGAGCTTTGTATCAGCAAACACAGCAGTCATGTTTTCCACTGCTGCTCCTGTATCTAAGCACAGTTCTGCTTTTACAAATGCCATAACAATTTTTCATAATCATAGAATCACAGAATGGTTTGGGTTGGAAAGGACCTTAAAGCTCATCCAGCTCCAACCCCCCTGCCATCAGCAGGGACACCTTCCACTAGACCAGGTTGCTCAAAGCCTCATCCAACCTGGCCAAGAACACTTCCAGGGAGGAGCAGCCACAGCTTCTCTGGGCAACCTGTTCCAGTGTCTCACCACCCTCACAGCAAAGAATTTCTTCCTCAGATCTCGTCTCAATCTCCCCTCTTCCAGTTTCAAGCCATCCCCCCTTGTTCTGTCACTCCCTGCCCTTGGCCAAAGTCCCTCCCCAGCCTTCATGAACCTTCTGAAGAAATGATACCCCACCAAAGACCAGCAGTGATTTTAGGGCAAATCATTTTGCACAGGGAGAGCCAGAAGAGCTTAAAAATAAATTATTCAGATAATTTCTATGTCTAGATAAATTCTGTGAATCATTTGTTATAGCAATATAAGAATTACTTCACCACAAATGCTTTGGTGAGTTATACCTGAGCATGACGGGAAGCATACAAAATTTCAGGAAGATAAATTCCAGCTGTCAGAAGCAAAGTTTGAAAATTGGCTGAAATAAAACCTCTTTGACCCTCAAGTAGGGAATGACATTGCAATGGGAATGAAAGAGACTCCTCTTCTCAGAGCAAGTAAAATAACTGGGTCTGCCGGGAGCCAGCCAGGCCAGACCTGCCTTCTAACTCACCGTTGAACATTTAGTAGTATAAAAAGCAAGAGGATAAAACAAAAATCATAATTAAGTTCTCTTTTATCTTTTCCCGTGTAAAATGGGTTGAATTGAAGCCTACGGTGTGTGTTATTGTTTCCCTGTGAAAGGACGGGTTCTTGTCTGTGTCTTAAATCTGGTTTTGTTCAAAATAGTGTAGGAACAACTGTGAACATTTTAGGTTCCTTCAGAAGAGGGTGAAAAGGAGCTGCAGAATTACTTGGGGAGACGTCCAGGTGCTTTAACTGAGTGCATCTACGCTAGCAGGAGGCCTTTTTCAAGGCTTCCTTGAAACACAATATTGTCTTCCAGGGTTAATCCAGGATAGTAATAATTAATTGTAAATTGAGAAACAGCTTTAATTCTTCAAAACTAGAAAAACCTGATGCACCGAGCCCACTCACTTAAAGGGCTAGCAGAAGGAAGACAGTGTGGCCTCACAAAGTGGGAGGGTTGCAGACTGGTTAGTTTTTAGAAATTAAAGTGAAGCAAGAAGCAAATTCCCTCTCTTATTCTTAAAAATTTAGCATCAACAAATGTTTTTAAAATCCATTTGTTTGCTGGATTAATATGATTTATGTTTTGTATCAAGTAGTTTGTGGTGATGTTCTTTTTATCTATCTGGACATAGTTTTTCATCAACACAAATCCCTGCAATTACATGACCAGCAGAAGGGAGAAGGATGATCACCAACCATAAAGCCCCAGAAGGGCTACTGTTGTGTTTCTTTTATCTTTAGTCCTCACCTCAAAAAGCCATCCGTAGTTGCTTTTTTTCTGGTCCAACTCTTACACTTTCTTTACTTGCTTTTGTTTCCTGCTGCTTGAGTGAGAAACATTTAAGATAGTGGAAAGTTTTCTTAGTGCAAACAGAAAGGCTTTTAAGTTGCAGTTACACAAAGAGCTTTTTACTTATGAAAGTGGCATCGTTGTGAGTAACCAAAGATTTTATTATAGCATGGTAGTATGTTAAAAATAGTTAAAACAATGCCATTTGAGTGTCTTTACTGGTCATATTCTCTGGATTTGCATTGCTATGAAGATACCCTTGGAGATATCTAGAAGCCATGGGGAAAAATTGATGAGTTCAGATTGGATTGTGCAACAAAAAATAATAACTACTCTAATGAAGCCAAAAGAATAATAAATAACAGAGTTGAACCCATACTGTTCCTGTAATACTGGGTATGTGTCAGGCTTCCACTTGCATTCTGAAAATGTTCTGAGCCAGAAGACCCTGCTGCATTGTAATCTTTATTTTGTCTGTTTTTAAAGGCATACGATGGGTTTGCCAGTTTAGGAATATCACGATTGCTGGAACCTTCTGACATGGTATTATTAGCGATACCTGACAAACTGACTGTTATGACCTATCTCTATCAAATAAGGGCTCATTTCTGTGGCCAAGAACTAAACGTGGTTCAAATAGAGGAGAACAGTAGTAAAAGCACCTATAAAGTAGGTAACTATGAAACGGACACAAACAGTTCTGTTGACCAGGAAAAATTCTACGCAGAGCTGAACGACCTGAACCGGGAGCCTGAGCTGCATCCGCCGGACAGTGCTTTGGCAGACTTTGCTTCTCAGGACGACTCCGTGTTCGTAAATGACAGCGGCGTTGGCGAATCTGAGAGCGAGCATCAGACTCCCGATGACCATTTAAGCCCAAGCACAGCTTCCCCTTCTTCTCGCAGGACTCGAAGTGACACAGATCCACAAAAATCCCAGCAGAGCTCTGGAAGGACTTCTGCTTCTGAAGACATTGGGAAGTGTACCAGTACAGACACAACGCAAGCGCAGCCGGTGTTGGGAAGGAAGAAATTGCTGATAGCTGACGCTTTAGACTTGAGTGACTTGGCACATGTTAGTGATCAAAAGGAGGACGTGTCTCCCACAGTTGCTTGTGAAGATAATGACAAGAAGAGACACCAGAGCTCAGACAGTACCATTGGTTTCTCAGAGCAAGAAAAGCTGGGACGTATAGGATCGACAGAGAGCACGAGAGCAGATCCTGGTTCACCTGTCACAAAGCCGAGTTTATCTCCTACTTCCAAGCTTGGATACTCCTATAATAAGGATACGGAAGCTGCAAAGAAACCACATGCTTCTCCAAGGCAAACAGAATCTGATTCTGACAGCGATGCCAGAACGGCTTTAAATCATGCAGATCAAACTGCAAAAACAGCCCAGGTAAGAAATTCAAACTTTCTGTATGCCTGTGAATCAGGATGGAGATGCTCTTCAGGTTCTTTCTCCATGTTTATAATTTACATTGTGTCTTCAGTATAAATGGTGAGTTTTTATTGTTGTGTGTTTTTATTGTTGGACAATAAATACTTTGATTGAATGTAGATGATGCTGAAAAAAATACCTATTACATGAAAAATTCTTTTATAGGAATTGGCCTACTGTTAATCTTTCCAATCTCTCTCCAATTAAAGGAAGTAACGTATTCTCAAGCAGCTCAAAGAAGATGACTTCAAGGCTTTTGCCACCTTTCTTCTGGGTATTGCATGCTGAAACAAAAATTGGAAAAAGACTTAGCAACTCATTGATCCGTATTCAAAAAATGTAAAGTTTTTTTTTAAATATATTTCCAAACATATTTCCAAATCTTATCTCAGAAACCACATGGCCTTCTGAACGTAGCCCACAGTGGTGGGGCAGAAACTCCCCAATATTAAGTTACGCTGTTCACTGAGTGGCCTCGAGCATGTTCCTTAACCACAATATCGTTTTCCTTTCTGTAAAGATAAAAAGGATATGCCCACCTACCTTGCAGATTTATTGTGAGAATGGAATTTGAATGTTATATAAATGGTGGGTATTATCAGTAAATAGTATCATCACAAAAATATGTAAAAAATGTTATCGGTCCCGTTTACAAAAATGCCAAAACGTGCTGATAATTTTACCCCTGTGAAGAGCTTTCTTGAGTTTTGGCTTTGTTTAGCTTTATGCCATTGGCTCTGATAAGACAAGAATATAGCCAGGCTTTTGGTAGTGTGGATTGCTTCAAATATTTTTACATTTTTTCCTGGGTAAGTGCCATAAAGATTCATTTTATTACAAGAGAAGATGTCCCTGGATGGGTGATAGTGGCCAAATACTATTTCTGTAGCCAGTTAATTTTTTTCCTTTAATTAGTGAAGTTTGATGAAGGTTCTCTTCATCATCATCTTTATGCACTGGATGAGAAAGGAACAATTTGGCCCATACAGATTAGTCGAGCAGGACAAGACAGGATGTCTTTTTTATGGAGATTTTCACGTGCAAGGTGTAATGGCCCAAGAAAAAGGAAGAGATGGCTTGAAGGACGGTTCTGTGTTGTTAATCATCTGTGCTTTTGCACGTGGTAGTAAAATCTCAGATGTGAGCTTCAATCTTAACCTTGAACACTCAAGAAGAGATGGTTGGAGTCAACCACCTCAATTTCCACATGATTGTTGTATGAGCACAACCTGCACCATCTGTCCCAGCTCTACCTCGTGTCAGGGCCTAGAGACACATTTTCCCAGAGCCTTCACAGTTGACCTTGACTAAGCAGTCAGCACTTGGGAGTATATTCGTAAGCTGCTCGTATTGCCTGTGCAGAAGCCCCCCTTCTGTTATTTCTGCTCTGCAATATAATCAATCATGTGTATGGAGAAGGGACTTTGTTGTGGATATTCATAAACGAAGTAGAAGCAGATATTTTTGCAGGTTTTTTGCCTCGTACCCCGCCTCTTTGTGTTCAGTTGAAGTTATAAATGAGCGATACCCATATAAGTAGCCAACGAAGCATTACATTTGCATACATATTAAAGTAAATAAGTAAACACATAGCACATTTAACGTAGCTTCCATGAAGCCAATTATTTTTTTTTCCACAGTTGCAGTTTAAAGGCATTAACTGTTGATAGAAATTAAGTTTTAAGGGGAGGGGAGAGAACTCTTATTTACATTATAAAGGCCTATGACTTTTTTTTTTTTTTAATTTTACATTTTGGTCATCTTTACTTTTAATTTCTCTAGAATGCTCTGTCACCTCATGAAGCTGAAATCCATATGACTCCTGACCTTTATTAGCCAGGAAGGCTAATAAAGCCATTAGGCTCCTGGCTATTAGCTACTGTATAAACATTAAGTACCTGGAGGCTGCTTTGCTGTTAATTATATTTCTTTATTTTTAAGCAACGAATGTTGTCAAGACAGGAAGAACTTAAAGAACGAGCGAGAGTTCTGCTTGAGCAAGCAAGAAGAGATGCAGCTTTAAAGGCAGGGAACAAGCAACTAACCAATACGATCATCCCAGCCCGCAATAAGCAGCTGAATGATGTAAGAAATTTTGGCCATTATGGCAGTTTACATAGTTCAAATGTATTGTATGTGCATGTGCTTTTATGGGGGGGCATGTCCTCATGGAATATTTATTTTCTGCGCTGAATTGCTCTGTGTCATGTACCTTTAATTCACTTTTAAATCCTGTTTCTCCTGTGGTTACGGCCAACAGAAAGATGTCTTAGAGTTCACTGGAAGCAGAGGTCTGAGAGCACCTTCTTTGATTGGCACTGCAGTTTCTACTGGGACAAAAACCAAAAGTTACTCGTTAAATTATAGTGATTTATGCTATTTTTGGTTACTTCTCTTTTTTCAGTTGATGTAAATGCGTTCCCTGAGCCTGTGATGTCAGCTACTTGCTGTTTCCTAAGTGTTGTTGCAGTGAATGAAGCTGCTTGTGACAGTCTTGTAAAAGAGTTGATGGAACAATTCCTTTTTATCACCAAAGTTGATTATTCTGGTGAAATGGGAAAGTGGAGCTGGGGAATGAGCTCCAGTGTTGAAGCAGCTCCGGTCGCACCTCCAGTGGCCTCCGTGGTGACCTGGAGAGATGTGTGCTCTCTGGAGATGAAAGCTAATTAATTTTTATGCAAACCTTGGCAATGAGGGTTTTTGTCATTCTAACTATTGCGCATTAGAGACTCTACTGGCAACTGAGAATGTAAACGTAACTGAAAAATAATGATACAGAGAAAGGCTTGAATCTTTACTGATTCACATCTTCCAGAGCTTAGTCCTGAGGGGCAGATTCTGCTTTGTATGGAAATGGGATCATACAATCAAAAAATGAAGACAGTGATTTACATGTCTCATTTCATTCTCTTAACTCTCTTGGATCCGTGCTGTACATTTTTTTTTTTCCTTAACAATTCCTGTCCCCAAACTGACACTTCTTTTTTCTTCAAAATATATTCATATAGGCAGACAAGTCTTATTTGTGTAATGATAACATAATGATATGTAGGCAACTTTTTTTTGACTTTGTATTTAAGTTTTTCCTGGATAAGTATATTTTAGTATAAGTTTCACTTTGGATTTTTTTTTTTAATCAGTTTTTCATGAAGCCAACAGCATTGGAGGGGGGATACTATAGGCAACTACTCAGGCAGGAAAAACTGTAATTAAAGTTTCCTAACATTTTTTATTTCAAGTTCCCATTTTCATTGTTTGAGCTGAAATTTTCCCCATCAGCTCTCTATCTCAGGGTAATTTTATTTTATTTTTTTAACTTCAAAAAAACTCTGTTCAAGTGTTTCTCTGTCTTAAGTTGGATAAAGCATTGGTTTATCCATGTTAAAAAATGTCTTATGGGAAGAAGGTTCCATCCCCTTGAAAAATCTGTTCAAAAGCATCAAAGTTGTGTTAATAGCAATTCCTGTCAAAGAGTCTTGAAGTTCCAAAAAGTTGGTAAGTGTCAGTAAAAATTATCTGTATGGACACAGCACAGTAAGAGTGTCTTTTACCGTTGCTCCCCTAAGGATCAGGGCCCATTCTGATGCAGGTTGTAGTACTGGGGAGCAAAACTCTGTCTTTTAGACTCAAACTCCTGCTGATGAAATCCAAACAGGAGGTAAAGGAGCTACCCCCCTGGCATGTGGAGGAGAGGTGCCCTGGGTGGATGGCAAGGAGGTAGGTGGCGATGTGAAGTTAGACAACAATGAAGACTGTGTCTAGGCCGTGAAAACCAGCTGAGGGGTAAGAGGTGGGAACAGTGTTTTCAGGGTGAGAGTGAGGATTGCATAGTTCAAGGCGCCAGATTACCCATGGGACCTTATTTCATTTATTACAGAAGCTGAAAAATCATAGTATGATAGAATAGTTTTGGTTGGAAAAGACCTTTAAGATCAGTGAGTCCAACCGTTAACCCAGCACTGTGAAGTCCTCCACTAAACCGTGTCCCTAAGTACCACATCTACCCGGCTTTTAAATACCTCCAAGGATGGTGACTCCACCACTGCCCTGGGCAGCCTGTTCCAATGCCTGAGAACCCTTTCAATGAAGAAGTTTTTCCTCATATCCAATCTAAACCTCCCCTGATGCAACTTGAGGCCATTTCCTCTTGTCCTATTGCTTGTTGCTTGGGAGAACAGACTGAGACCCACCTCTCTCCACCCTCCTGTCAGGGAGTTGTAGAGAGCGAGAAGGTCTCCCCTCAGCCTCCTTTTCTCCAGGCTCAACAACCCCAGTTCCCTCAGCCGGGAACTCATCACACTTGTGCTCCAGACCCTTCCCCAGCTCCGTTGCCCTTCTCTGGACACGCTCCAGCACCTCCATGTCCTTCTTGGAGTGAGGGGCCCAACACTGAACCCAGCACTCGAGGTGCAGCCTCACCAGTGCCCAGTACAGGGGGACGATCACTGCCCTGGTCCTGCTGGCTACGCTGGTGCTGATCCAGGCCAGGATACCCTTGGCCTTCTTGGCCACCTGGGCACTCTACTGGCTCATATTCAGCTGCTGTCGACCAACACCCCCAGGTCCTTTTCCACCAGGCAGCTCTCCAGCCACTCCTCCCCAAGCCTGGAACGTTGTATGGGGTGGTTGTGACCCAAGTGCAGGACCCGGCACTTGGCCTTGTTGAACCTCATGCAGTTGGCCTCAGCCCCAAATGAATTAGAAGCCTGCAGGAAAGGGAAGGGCAATCTTGCAGGGCCACTCTGCAGAGCCAGAGTTTCTTGCCCCCATCAGAAGCTCTTTACAATGTTGGGAAGGTACCTTCAACACAACATACTCAAGGTGGCGAGTTCCTTGTTTTCTGATTTCTAGCCCAATATTCTTGGGGACTTTGCTGGAAGTTTTGAAAGCACCCGGCTGTAGCCAAGTCAAGGAGAACTGTGCTGTGAAAAAGTGGTCCTGGCAATAATGAAATCCTTGGCACTCTGAGCAAATAGATGATGGACACTCTTGACTTGAGTTGATTGTAACGTAAGAATATCAAAAGCTCATCAGCTCAGAAGGATGTTGTGGAGATGTCGTTTGGAAACTCTTAAATATGACAGTGAAGAGTGCCATGGAAATACTCTGGAAGAAATTAATAACTCTGTGTTCAGAGAAAACTTTAAATAGTGTATTTTAAACAAGGTGTAGGGCAGACAGTGGATAATGAGGGTAAAGTGAGATACCGAACAGTTGTTCATTCACTGAACATTGTCAGTCATGGCCACTGAAAAAGACAAGTATCCTGTAGGAAAAAATGAGTGTGGCTTATGCAATTAAAAGCTGTAAATGAGAACTGATGGAAGGTTCTACAGCCAGTGAAATTTTGACATTTTTCTAACTTTTGAGTGGTTGAGTTACCAAACTCAACATTCTCCTAATGCCTTTGAATGGGAAACACGCATTGTGAAAGGGAGCTGTCTTTGATGGAGGCTGATACAGTGTTCATATTTCATATTTTATATAAAGTTGATATATAACAATACACAGAATCATGGACTAGTTTGGGTTGGAAGGGACCTTAAAGCTCATCCAGTTCCAACCCCCCTGCCAGCAGCAGGGACACCTTCCACTAGACCAGGTTGCTCAAAGCCTCATCCAGCCTGGCCTTCAACACTTCCAGGGAGGAGCAGCCACAGCTTCTCTGGGCAACCTGGGCCAGTGTCTGACCACCCTCACACCAAAGAATTTCTTCTTCAGATCTCATCTCAATCTCCCCACTTCCAGTTTAAAGCCATCACCCCTTGTTCTGTCCCTCCCCACCCTTCCTGGAGCCCCTTCAGGTACTGGGAGGCCACTAGAAGGTCTCCCTGGAGCCTTCTCCAGGCTGAACAGCCCCAACTCTCTCAGCCTGTCCTCACAGCAGAGCTCCAGCCCTCGCATCATCCTCATGGCCTCCTCTGCACTGGCTCCAGTAGCTCCATGTCCTTGTGCTGTTGGTGGCCCCAGCACTGGAGGCAGCACTGCAGGGGGGGGCTGAGGGGAGCAGAGGGGCAGAATCCCCTCCCTCCACCTGCTGCCCACGCTGCTCTGGGTGCAGCCCAGGACACGGTTATTGGCCTCTGGGCTGTGAGCGCACGTTGCCGCCTCATGTTGAGCTTCTCATTCCCCAGCACCCCAAGTCCTTCTCCTCAAGGCTACTCACGATACATATTCTATAAAGCAGTATTTAACATATACCTGTGTTACACATTATATACATATCCATGCATGTGTATGTTCTCAATGAGAATCTATGTATGCATCAACATATAGAGATATAAGATAAAATACATTAATTTCTTGTTTTTTAAAATATATTTGATATTCACAGAGCTGAGACATTTCCATTTGATGTAGATGTACCAGTTTACTACTGGCCATTGCTTAGTTGATTGTTAGAAACTAGTACAGACTTATTTCTATTCAGTGTTTTCTGGTCATTAAGATTAATAGTAAGAACTTTGACTTGAAGAGGTGTTGTATGTGTGGTAACGTGTAGTAAGTAGTGTGTTACTCAAATGAGTTGTGACAACGAGAATCAGCATTTAGTAGTGGGAATTGGAGTAGGCTCGTTTTGGGGATGGATTGAGAGGGAATCAAAAGAAAAAGGTTTAAAAGAGGAAGATCTAATTTTAAATAAGAATATTTTAAAGAGATACTTTCTTAAGTAACTCTTGAAGTTTGCAATTGCACCTTTTTTGGTACCTTTAAGCAGCTCAGTCTTGCAGAGTGTACTCTGAGAATCACTCACCCCAGCTAAGCTCAGCCTGCGGAGTCATTAGTTACCTCTGAAAATCTCGCTGTTACCACTTTGCATTTGTCAGATGAGAACGAGGAATCACCGTTTTCTTAGTAAACAAGTGAGAACAATACCCGGTGCGTGGGGTTGTATTGCTACTTGAGGGCAACAAAAGGGAGGAAATTTCCAAGTCTGTGCCTTTGTCATAGATACAGGTTACTTGGTATTTGCTCACCTGGTTTGTTTTGGTAGAAGTCTTTTTTGAAAAAGACAATGTTCCTGTTTCTCCTCTAAGCACAGAGCAAACACCTTAGACCTCCTTCAGCACACGCCTTGCCCTTCCTCTGGTAGAACCAATATTGTGGGGTTTTTTCCAGTAGTCATGTACTT